TTACTATTTTTGTAATAAATAAAAATATAATTATAATTTTTAAATGAAAATAATTTTAAATTAAATATGGCACAAATACAATCGATTCGAAGTATTGTGCGTGAAAAACAGATCGAAACTGAATTTTCTATGATTTTTTAATGTTAAAACCTAGAAAAATCCAAAAATGCCCTCGGATTGCCACGTGGCGCGCTCGGATTCGTTCCCAGAACCTCGGCAATGATTGCTGCCATGGCCACTTAGCCACGTAGGTGGGTTTTGGGATCCGCTGTTTGGCCCAAACACAGAACGGCGAAATCACAGCCATTTATCTAAAGATCAACGGCTGCGATTTCGTGTAGTTCAAAAGGGACGAACCGAAACTCTAAATGGTTTTTTGCCTCGTTCTCCCAAAATACTCAACGAAACGCAATGAAATTTGAAACATAGGCTCTATACATGAAGAGCATTCATGGGGGAGCATTTGTTTGGAAATTAATCAGCTTTTCGAAAAGCTATTTAACCCGAAGCTATGTGATCTATTCTAAGGGTTTTCGAGAGATCTAACCGTTTGATGTTCGCGTTCTTGTGCTCGTTGGACTCATGGAGGATGCAGGAATATTTATCTAGTTTACGTCAAGCACTGGTTCTCCTTCGATCGAGCGGGATTCATCCTAGAAGGGTTTCACTCTCAGGTTCATCGGAGGATCGCCGCCAGTGGGCTTTGACCGGTCGGGTTTGAGTGAGGGAAGATGGGGGAAGACTCCAGGAGTTCTCACACAAAATTTCAGAGCTTGTGGAGGTCTGAGGCTAGAGAAAGAGCAAAAAGATCCCAAATAAAACCTAAATTTCCCTATTTAAAGCTCTAATCAATGCACGGACGGTTGAGATCGAATCCATATGTAATTAGGAGGGAAATCCATCATATTTGGCCGTGGTTTGAATTTTTAAAATGCTAAGAATTGATTAGAGCATTAAATAGGCCTTTAATGGGCTCTAAATAGGTTATTTTAACCTATTAAATACTTGGTTTGGTCAAGTCAATGATTGACTTGGTCAAATCAGTCAAGAGAGTCAAGGGAGTCAATGGTTTGAGCCATGAAATCCATGAAATCAATTTAAAATTGATTTTAGGCTTAAAGGGTCCAAATTGGTCAACCCTGGTTGACTTGGTCAACTAGGTTGACCTAGGGTCCAAGTCAAGGTTCAACAAACTCAACTCGACTCACTGAACCCATCGGGAGGGTCATGGGGTCTGGCTTGGTCAATTTGACCAAGTCAACCTCTTTGACCAGGAGTATGGGCAAAATCAAGGTGAACACATATGAACTCTGATTTTAGAAAACTTACTATCGAACTGAATGTCTCAAAAATACAAACCCAACGATATCAAATTCAACTCAATCCAAGCCCAAATAAGACCAAATTAAAGATCCGAAGCGCATTTGGAGGGTTCGAACTATAATTTTTTATTTCCAAATGGTTTTCAAACATAACATTCTTATAGTCGAATCGAGCGGCTCGATAAGACAAATCCAACAAGACTAAGATCATTAAATTTTGATATCATTAAGACATTTAAATGTCTAATAAATAATTCATGATCGAGGGAATCCACATCAGTCATTCAAACAACTCTCAAATTACCCTTGCAATTCCTCTTATTTACTGGTCATGCCACTCTCAGAAAACTATAAGTAAACCTCTCATTTCTCATAGGGAAGGACCCCTAAGGGGGAGGGGGAGAAGAGGCTCAAGCAAGAAGAGAATAATGAAAAGGAAGAGAAGGAAGAGAGATGATCTCTTGCCACCAAACTCTTCCTCGACCACCGCTGGACTTCCAACCAATATATAGCCTACCAACGTTAGAGTTCTACGCAAAATTCAACTGATGCTAAAGTTCTACCTGTTGTCGAACTTCTTCCCGTCACTGAACTTTCAGCAGACTTCTACCTGACATCGGACTTCCGTTCGTCTCTGGATTTTCTCCAGACGCCAGAGTTTCGCCTGGTGCCAGACTTCTGCCCATCTCTTGACATTCATTGGACTTCTACCTAACGCAAAACTTTCATCCATGGCCATATTTCTACCCTGCACCAGACTTCTGCCCTTCACCGAATTTCTGCCCGTCATCAAACTTTTGTTGAATTTTTACTTGATGCCAAACTTCTGCCCGTCGTCGGATTTCTACCCGGCGGTCAACTAGCGGTTGAACAACGGTATTTGTACCGGCAGTTGGACGACCGGAAAGCCTCCGCTAACAATTCTGACGATAACTGGTGGCGTAGGCCGCTGGAAAGCCGTCAGGGAAATAAACCACCGGCAACTATTTCCGACGCCATTTTTTCCGGCGGTGGGACAACCGTCGAAAAGCCGTTGATTTTTTTCAGAACTGTCGGTTTTTACATGTAAACCGCCGGCAAAACCGTTGGTAATGAGCAAATTTCCTGTAGTGCTCGGCGCCGGAGTTTTGTCTGTCGTCGGACTTCTATCCATCATCAAACTTTCATCAGACTTCTACCTGGCGTCGAACTTCCACCCATCACTAAACTTCCAGCCTCCGTCGCCAGCAGACTACGGTCCTTCCGATCTCCTTTAATATACAACAATCTTTCTGACAATTGTTGTCTGCCGACTACAGTCCTTTCGACATTTTTTGCAAGACAACGATCTTTCTGGCCACTATCGCCCATTGACTATGGTCCTTTCGACCTCCATAGCTAGATTGTGTTCCTTTCAAACTTCGACACCAATCAATGAGCTTTTTTAACTACTATCGCTCATTGACTACGGTCTCTCTGACCATCGTCACCAAACTATGATCTTTCCGACCTCGGTCGCTCGCCGACTATGAATCTACCGACCAAACAAATGTATCAATAGTGATTCTTTTAAGTCCCATCATGTAACACACTCTATATGATGTATATTTGTTACATCAAGCTAAGGTTTTCCCCCAAGAAAGGGCATCATTTAGTCAACTATAAATAATGGTGGATTCATTCAAACTGAGCCAGGCCCCATGGTTTTTCCCCTTGGTAGGGTTTTCCACATAAAAATCTTGGTGTCTCTTACAATTGCTGGACCCTTTTTTTTATCTGTATGCGTGCTAGATCTTTGTACAAAACTAAGATTAAACTTTATATTTCTCCGCCGCCGCAAATATTCCAGGACGCAACAGTTATCTTATTTGTATAATAGTTGTTGAATAATATTATGCCATTGATGCTAGCCGCGAAAACTTTTTGAGGTATCCTGGAGTGTATTTAACTTTAAGAGTTTCATTTCTTTAAAAAATTAATTGACCTAAACTACTCTATTTGATTTGACTTTTTTACTAGTCCTTAATGTGAGCAGTTTATACATCTTGACATAATTTTTCTTTCCTTCTGCTTGCATCATCAGGAGCCAACGGGCAAAAAGAAAAACATACTCTTTATAAAATGCACTCCTAATCGAGAAGGCAGATGCAGAGTCCATGTCTAAGAGGCATAAGGCCATTGAAGAACAACCATAACAAAGGACTCATGATTTGCAAGAAGAGAGCTTGTGGGTTCACTACTTAAGGAAGAAACTTGAAGAGCCCATCAACTTCTTGATAGACAAAGGGCACAAGTTATCTATTTAACTATCTCTTCTTCACCTTTACAGTTAGCTCTACCAACCTTAAGTAATTGGCAACCTTAAGTAAGGGGCGGAACCAACTTTAATTCTTAGGGGGGACAAAATTATAAAAAGATAAAAAATAAATTCATAACAAAATTCAAACAAGATATTATATTGCAATAAAAATTACAAGTTTTGCATTCTATTTTGCATCTTCTAATAATGTTGTATTACAACTTCATTTGGAACCAAATCAAATACTTCTTTCTCAATATATGGCACCAGACAGTCATTGAGCCAATCATTACCCATTTTATTGCGTAACCTATGTTTAACAATTTTTATTGCTGAAAATGCTCTCTCCACTGTAACGGTGGCAACGAGCAAAGTTAATACTAAAACAAGAAGCCGGTGAACTAAGGGGTACACGGTATCTTTTTTAACCTTAACAAATTGTTTTGCTAGATCAGCAATGCTCTCCAAAGATGAGAACTCCTTGCTTGTACGCATATCAAGAATGTATGTCGATAGCTGGTGCTCTAAAGCCACAAGTTCAATTATAAAAAAATCGGCTGAATATAATTCTGCAAGCCAAATTAATTTCTCCTTATTATAAGCAAAGAATGAGTTACTTGGATTTAGACATGACATACAAAGAAGCAATTCAGTACTAGCTTCAGAAAATCTATTATTCAGCTCTTGAAGTTGCATATCAAAGATAGTGTAAAAGAATTTCACACGATAATGATGTAAATTTGTTGCTTCATCATTTCTGCGTGATGATCGTCGACGGGCTCCCTTCAACAGATATGATCTCCGAATTTTATCTCTTTCATTTACATCCTAACACCAAATTGAAGGTCGAATTCCAGGATCAGCTATTAGACTATTAATATCAATCTCCAAAGATTCCTTCCTCTTTAGAAACTTGTTTGATTAGGGCAAAAAAAATATTTTAGGGGCAGGTGGGGTGGTCAAATTTACAAAATAGTCCTCCCTCTAATTTACATTGCCCCCCCTCACGTACAAATAGTTCCGCCAGTTAAGTCTCTTTCCTTTGCCACGATGGTCAACTGATCTACCAAACATTAGTCATTGAAAAAGCTTGTGTATGCATGGGTAGCTAGTATGGTAGCTGAATATGGATTACTTGAATAGTTGGCCAAACAACTAAACAAGGCTTTAATGGTGAGAGGTGAACCGTCAAGATCTCGCATTGATGAGCTAGAGAAATATAATAAAATACATTAATGGTGGATCAAATTAGTGGGGACATATAAATTATTTTTTAAGGGAGGGTCACCATTAGACATTTATCATGTGAGACACTAAATAATGGCATGTGTCCCATATGATCCACCTTAAGTTCCTCCTTAAAATAATCACAACGACTTCTGTCTTGCACAGATAGCTTCTCTCTCTCTCTCTCTCTCTCTCTCTCTCTCTTAATCTCTGATACAGACCAGCGATGGATATCTTTAATGGCTTTCTCAGTGTGATTATGCATGTTTTGATTGCTGTGTTCTTATTAATCTATCTCCCCGTCTCCTGGATTTGGAGACTAATAATATTCGTCTTCTTCAAGCCCTTTTACAAAGAAGATGTTGGAGGAAAGGTGATTCTGATAACGGGGGCTTCTTCCGGCATTGGAGAGGTCAGTGATTTTCTTACAGATTTTATTTTATTTTTTTGGTATTATTAGCGGTTTTTGTTTAATTATTAAGAATGGTAATAACTTAAACTTGGGAGAAAAATGATGTAAATTATTTTTGCTGCATTAAATGTCTTTTTATTAATATTAAAATAGACTTTTAAGGTTTTACCCCCACTGGATCCCAACTTACATTAAGGGGCTGTTTGGTAATAGGACTGACGCATGATTTAGCAAGGTTTAAAAAATCAGATCGGACAAGTTAGTCCGACTGGTTCAACCATGAACTAGTCATAGGATCCAACCAATTCAAGTCATAAAGCCTTGCTCAGTCCATCCTGAAAACTTCTTCTACGTCAAACCGGAGTGAACCGGCCAGAACTGTAAGTTCAACCAGTGAACTAGTGAACCAGTCTAGATTCCTTTGGAAGTGTCGATTCAATTGCTGAATTATTTAAATAATTATATAAAATAATTTAATACATTAAGGATAAAATATTAAATAATATTAAAAATTTATCAAATTAATTTAAATTTAATATATACTTAGTTTTTTAATAAGCATGAAACTTATATAATAGTTCTTTTACCAAAAATAAGAATGAACCATCTTATATAACTTCACCACTTCACTCGAGTTCTTAGTACACACAAAACCAAAAAGATATATAAATAATAATAAGAAAAAGTTCTTAAGTGACGTGTGACTAAATATATGACTTAAGGTTATCATACTCACAACGTATATCTTATATATTTTTAAACATATATTTTAATTAATTCTTTATAATGTGAATAATATTTATTTTTTAGTTAATAATAATAGTTTATTAATTTATTTATACACTATAAAAAATAATTTTTATCTATTTATTAATGATAATTTATTTAATATAAGTAATTGGTAGATGAAGATTTATAATATAAATTTTGCATATAACCTATAGATGTAAATTACATTTAATTCGTATTATTTAATTAATGAATGAGTTGAACACAATCTTAGATAAACGGCCAAACAATTTAAGCAAAAAAATATATATGATATGAAATTATGCTTTATATATATATATATACATATATATATATATATATATATATGATTTGCGTATCTATTAATAAAGCAATTAATCTAATCTTAATAATTAATATTAGCTAATTGAAATTTTATTATCTAATTATATTAATTGATATTAGTTTTTTTTTTCTAAATATAAGTTGTTATTTAAGCAAATTAGGGAAAATTGCTAGACCACTTAAATAATCACATTTAAGAATCTAAGAACATCCTAAAAAAATTAACTATTTAATCCTTGTATTTGTGCTTGTCATAATCAAACCATTGGAAGTTATTTGAAATATAGTTTCATGATGCATGTCATCTTATATGTTAGGATCGTAGATCCTTATCTAATCAAATAATGTTGTTGATGTGAATCACATACAATAAACAATGAAAATGATGATGCTATTATCTTAGAAAATTATTTTTAGGATCAAACAAAGATAAAATGACATAATTTTATACTCAGAATGACTATCTCGCAAAATAACTCCTATGATTGAAGTTGCTCAAATTTGAGCATGCTTAGGGCTTAAATCTGCCAAATTTTCTCCTTTCTTATCCTTCCCCGTGCCTTGCACATGATGGCATTCATTGCTCAGTCTAAGAGGCACCTAAATTTGGAAGCATTAACCCCTGAATTGATATGATGTCCCTCACTGTTACTACAAATAATTAAGCTACACAAAAGATAGTGCGAGTTTACATGAAGTGGTTTAAATAAGCTTATGTGTGTAACAACATGAAGTAATTATTTCCACTAATTCAAAGAAAATAAACTGCACAAATAGGATATCTCAATAATTTTCTTTATTCTCTTATTTTATCTCTCTTAATTCAATAAATTCAAATCTTTAAAAAAATGAAGAAGAAAGAATAAAAGACAAATTAGAATAGACGCTAACCTCCAATTGAAATCACCCCCAATATTATCCAAAGGAAATTTCCTTTAATCCTTCATAGAGCTTCTCAATAACTAGTCTCTTTCATACTTGCCACTGGCTTCATAGAGAACTGTTGATTACCTCTAAATAGGACCACAACAACCCACAAAAAAGAGAACCTATCATATATTCTCTTTTCTTCTAATCACAAGCTATTCGGTAGTAGACAATAAAAGAATCCATCTTTCCATGCAACCAATAATCTTCATTTTATAGAGCTTAAATGTGGTAGATTTGATTTGTAAGGTGGCTATTTAGAGTTTTACGTATGATGAGTTGAAAATTTGCAAAAAGATTAGGTAGAGCTTTAGGTGTGGCAAATATCAAATTTAAAAAGGGATACGTAAAGTATGCAAGAGGAATTTAAATTTTTGACTTAAATAGCCTCCTCTTAGAGATTAAACTACTAATTTGCTATCATAAATGGTTCAACTTTGTGCAATACTTCAAAAATATCCCATGCTCCTAAATCCTTGAAAGGCTCAACATAGTTCAACCTTAACATGCCCAAGTTATACTTGAACTCAGCACTCATGAGAAGCCTTCAAATCACATATGTTACACACCAAGATGAATCCATTAATATTAAATGTACATCTATCACTAAATTTTCACCTATATTATGTGTCTATCTTCTTACTCTAAATATTATAATGGTATTATTTGATATTGGGTGGATTATAAAATATAAGAATGATCCTTCTGATCATCTCCAAAACTCACCCCACTTGACTTTTGCCTCTTTTTATCTAGAATATTTGTTGCAAATAACAATTTTTACTTATTCAACTCGGGGTTTTCCACCAAAGTTGTTAAAATTAAAGCAATACCACTCAAATTATAGTCGACAAACTATAATGGCTTTTAAGATAGCCGATACATGAAACCTTAAGGGATTTCTCATCTATAAAGAATGTATATCTTGCATTCCTGAGAGCATTTAAAGATATTATATTTTTAAAAAAGATTTGGTACATACCTAACTTCAGTCATGTCCTAGTCAAATAATCATGCCATCAACTTTACCATGTCAATATCATCAATATTGCATGACAGATTATTTTACATATAAATATAACCCTCACATAACTTATAATTAGTAAACATCCCCATAGTAGGACAACTGATATGAAAAATTTGAGTTTACAACTCAGTTCTCTTTGCATCTTTCTCTGTTAGTCATCAAATGATTATTCAAATACTAATATGCAGCAACACTTGCATCTGTTTATTTTTCCTTTCTGTGGTTATCATCTGCATGTTGCTTTTTTTTAAGTATACAAACAAAAACAACAACATCAAGCTTTTATCCCACTATGTGGGGTCGGCTACTTGAATATTTTTTTCATTTTGTTTTGTTGAGTCAACTTCTTATTTAAATATAATAAAAAAAGTTGTTTCTAGTATTTTCTTAACCAATACTTTTAGGTCTACAACTACCTTTCTTAACATAGGTCAAATCTAATACATCTACTCTCCAAACTGGGTCATCGGAAGGCTACCGACATTTTATGTCCAAACCATCTAAGGCGACTCTCAATCTTATCTACCATTGGAACTACTCCAACATTTTCACATATATATTCGTTTTGCATTTTGTCTCTAAGAGTGAAATCACTCATTCACCTAACCATCCTCATCTCTGCAACACTTGACTTAATTTTATGCTTCTCTTTAAATGGCCAACATTTTGCACCGTAAAGCATTGTAGGTGGAACACCTGTAAAGTTAGTGGATGAGTCAACCCATTTTGACCCGACCAAATTCAAGGTAATTTTTTATATTTTGCATTTGAACTCTTATACACGCGTGTGTTTGAGAATACTCTATGTGCATTTGAGAATTTGCATGTGATCGAAATAGGTTCCGGTGGTCTGTTTGCGTGATTGAGCAAGTCTGATTTTTTTCTCTGTGGCACTTGAATTGTGATGTTTTTGGCTCTAATGCAATAAGGAAAATTAGAAATTAATTCAGAGCGACAACGCTGGTGGTGGCACGACGACACTTAAGGCTCTCTAAGGAGCAATGTGGCAAAGGCCACAAGGCACCGTGATGGTGTGCAAAATTTTAATATTTTAAATATCCAAATCTATTATTACATTTGATCATTTTCATTTTAGTTGCCACCTACTGAGATAAGGGGAGAGAATCTTAGAGAGAGAAAGTTTATTTCGTCAGGTCATTTTTAGCTGGTAACCTAGTTCATAAGTTATTTAGGTCGAGATAGTTTGTATTTTGTTTGTCTTAGTTTTTAATAATTTGATAGTTTTGAGATTTTTCTAATTTTATGTAATTTTTTGTTATTTGAACTAAGATAACATTTTAACAGGAAAATTTTCATCGCGTAATTTTGTATATATAGTTATGGACATTTAGGTATTTTTTTAATAAAATTTATGCTCGACATTTTTTACACATTGCTTTTCTAAGACTGTAGGAAAATATCTAGGCACTAAAAAATAATTTTGTAGAAATATAAATCATTGTAATGTTGGTTTGTACAATCTCTAATAATTTGGTTGAATTCTAAGTTAATGAAATTTTACTATAGGATATCGAGTTTGACTGTTAAAATACTGCTTGGAGGGCAAATCTCCAAAATTCTAATTGGCTTAACTGTAATGTTATGTGGCTTAATTTATATATTTTGCATCTCTATATAATATTTTGTTTGAATCCAAGTAGTTGGTATATATATATATATATATATATATATACCGTGAAATTTTGTTGCGAGAATTCTAGAAGTGTTGAGAGCACTGAAAGGCCTAAGGACAGGAGTTCTGAATGGTATGGATAAGGATCTAAAGTTCTGAATGGAATACATAAGTGTCTAGAGTTCTGAATGGGAGTTATAAGAGCTGGAATTATGTTACTTTTTGCTCTGCACTGTGTGTTTATTTACTTTTTGTTCAGTATACTTTATATTCTTTTTAGCATATTGCGCTTTGAATTATGTAACATGCTCAATTACAAAACCCTATATTTTTTTATACCACTATAAGTCTGCTATTAAGCTTGGATAGTTACTTTATTTTATGTTATTGGTTCTAAATTTATCAAGAAAATATTTGGGTAGTATAATTTATTGAGCTATATTAGCTCATTCTATGTTCTGCATTTCATTTTAGGTCAGAGTAGGGGTAAAGGGCCGGTTGAGTAGATAAAGCTAATTTTTTATGTCTGGATAGTGAATAGGCACCCTTTCCATTTTTTGTATTAGATTTTTAAACAATCTTCGCATTTCTGTATTTATTGTCATGTGTCTATCTATTATCGGGGACTGTGATAGCAGGAATATGTAACATATGCTTTTGTAGATAAATAGAAAGAAATGAATTTTTGTGGATGAATAAATTCATGTATAGTAGAAAATGTTAGAAGCTCCGGTGTTTATTATTCAAAAGGAAATTTGATATTTCCCTCCAAATAAAAAATATTAGTTTGTGTGGTTTCATCTTTGTTCTATCACTATCCAAGATGGTGTGGCCTATATATGCGGGTCATATCGGGTTAAGTTGTGATAGTTCTTTGGTATTAGAGCATTATTTGGAGAAATAAATTATAAATAATGGTATAGGGTTTGATCTCTAATCGTATGAGAAAGTTCTAGGTATTTTCATGCATTCACTTTATTTTGTTATTCATGTCCATGAGTTAGTTGATGTTAGTTCCAATGGATCTACTTAGGCATGACATGAATGATGTGCAGAGTGTGAGCCATAGTGCACCGATAGTAAGTACAACCCCTACTGTTGGTTTTGATACAATGCAACATTTTGCTGGGTTGGTAGCATAGTTGATGGGCGAGGCCCAGAGCATGAGTTCTTATGTTAGGACTAAGGATGTGGATCTATATATATAGATGTTTTTAAGGTTGAAGCCTCCAAGATTTGATGGTACTATTGAGCCTAAGATTGTAGAGGTTTGGCTGATGAGTTTAGATAAGAACATCGATGGTATGTAATATCCTTTTAAAATGAGAGCAGCTTTAGATGTATTTTTGTGCTGGTGGTTGAGCCAGTAGCAGGAGAAATTTAATGGGAGGCTGGGTTCTCTAATTAATTGGGAGGAATTTATTGATATATTTATAAGTTCTTTTGTACCTTCATCCACCCAACAGCAGATGCAGGAGATTTTTCTAAGATTGGTTCAAGAAAGCAGTACTGTGATACAATACGAGACAGAGTTTATTGTTTTGGCCATATATGTTTCGCAGCTGGTTAGCACTTCAGGAGAGGAGTGTTACTATTTTCTTAGAGGCTTACGAGATGCTTTGAGATAACCGTTAATTTCGTTCCTGATTACTTATTTTTTTGAGCTGGTTAAGCAAGTCAAATTGATTGAGAATGACCTAACTACTATTAACAAGCGATGGACTACTAGTAGGAAGAGATTCGATGGAGAGCCATATGAGTAGATATTCTAGGAAGAAAAGTAGATTTGTACCCTCTGAGTTTACGAGTGGTAGTTTGTCTAGGTAGATTTCTATTAGTGGCAGTATGCCCAATGCTGGCAATTCTATATAGATGTGCTCGAGCTGTGGTAGGAGGCATGCAAGGTCGTGTTATCAGATGTCATGATAGTGTTTTTATTATTGGTTGAACAAACACAGAGTTGCAAAATATCTACATACAACTCCTAATCGATTTTATGATATTCATTTTGAGAGCTATATCAGAGTAGTAGAGAGACTGAGGATTATTCCACCAAATGGATATATTGATGCAGCTTCTGGTAGAGGAAATGGCCTTATGATAGGTTTATAGTCTGCGGATGTTTAGGAAGACCCTAGCTATTATGTAGCTCCGACACTAATTTAGCCACGTGTATATAGATTGATTATTTGAAGAAGAAAGTGACTTTATTTTTGAAAAATGAGAGTTTCATATTTTAGGGTGTGAGAAGTGCCTTATCATGTCTAATATCAGCTCTAAAAATAAGTAAATTTTGGAAGAAGGGTAATATGATATTTCTAGCTTCTATTAGAGATACGAGAGTAAATTTTGGATTATTCAATATTATTCCCATGATACAAAATTTTTTAGACATTTTTCTTGAAGAATTTGTGTGCGTTCTTCCTGATAGAGAACTTAAGTTCTATATATATGTGTTATTTCTTGGTACAGCTCCAATCTCCAAAGTTCCGTACAGAATAACACCTAAAAAAGTTTCAGGAGTTGAAGGTACAGCTTTAGGAATTTGTTGATAAAGGTTTTGTCCGTCCTCATATGTCTCCTTGGGAGAATATATTTTGTTCGTAAAGAAGGATGATACAATGTGAATGTGTATTAATTACGGGGAGTTGAATAAGGTAATGGTAAAGAATAAGCATCATTTTCCACATATTGATGATCTATTAAATCAGCTTACAAGGTTATATGTGTTTTCTAAAATTTATCTGAGATCTGGATATCATCAGGTAAAGGTTAAAGAAGCAGATATTCCTAAGTTTGCTTTAGCACGAGATATGGACACTATGAGTTCTTAGTCATGCATTTTAAGGTGACTAATACTCCAACATTTTTTATGGATTTGATGAACATGTTCTTTAGGATTTTTCTTGATTAGTTTATTATTGTATTTATTGACAACATACTAGTATATTCTATGTTTGAAGAGCAGCACAGTTCATCTTAGAAAAGTTTTGAAAACTCTGAGACAACATCAGTTTTGTGCTAAATTCTCTAAGTGGTCTTTTTGGATGAAGAATATTCTACTTTTGGGACACGTGATTAGTAGTGCAAGTATATCTATTGATCCCAAAAAAATTTAAGTAGTTTCTGATTGGCCAAAGCCAACTATGGTATTTGAGATACAAAGTCATCTGGGTATGGCCAGGTATTATAAAAATAAGTGAGAATTATTTCAGATTTCTATGCCTTTGATTAGGCTGATTCAGAAGTTAGTGGTTTGGGATTGGACACCTGAGTGTGAGCAGAGTTTTCATAGACTGAAGGTTTGCGTGATGACAACTTCGATTCTGACAATTACTTCTGGTACTAATGGATTTTAAGTATTCAGTGATGTTTCACTAAAAGAATTAGATTGTGTTCTAATGCAAAAAGAAAATGTTATAACTTATGCTTCCAGACAGTTAAAGTCACACGAGAAAATTATCTAAAGCAACACCAGAAAATTATATCACACATGATTTGGAATTGCCCGATATTATCTTTGCTCTAAAGATCTGTGGACACTACTTGTATGGGGTAAGGTGTGAGATTTTCAAGGGTCACCAGTCTGAAGTATTTTTTTACCTATAAATATATGAATTTGAGACAAAGAACATGGTTTGAGAAAGAAATGAATCTGAGACAAAGAAGATGAAGCGTGGCGCTAGAGGTGGCGCAGCGACGCTGAGTGCTCTTTAAGGGAGCTATGTGATGAGCACAATGGGGTGCTAGGTCGAATTTTAATATTTAAATATCTACATCGACTTTTTCATTCAATCCTTTTCATTTAAGCTTTTGCCTAGTGAGAGATAACTAGAGAGAGAAAGTCTACTTTAAACTGCTACATATCATTTTCAGCTCATGGCCCAGCTCTAAAAACTGTCTGGTTCGAGATAGGTTTTATTTTGCCTATCTCAGTTTTTAATAATTTGATGATTTTGAAATTTTTTTTTAATTAAAAATAATTTTGGTGTTTGAGCTGGGATAATGTAGCTTTGGACATTTAGGTGTTTTTCTATAAAATTTTTGCTAGGTATTTTTGGCACACTATTATTTAAGACTATAGGAAAATATACCGGCACTAAAAATAGTACTATAAAATAATTAAATATTTGAAAATGTAGTCCTACGCAATCTCTGATCATTTAAGATAATTCTAAGTCAGAGAAATTTTGTTATATGGTATAGGGTTTAACTCCTAAAATGTTGTCGAGAAGGTAAATCTTTGAAATTCTATAAATAGCCCAATTTATGTTTTTAACTGCTTAACTATAATGTTATATGTCTTGATTTATATATTTTGCATTTCTGGATAATATTCTATCTGCAGCTGAGGAGTTTGGGGGTAATAGTATATGACACACTTATGCCCTTTTAACCTTTATTGTAAGTACATCATATTGGCTAGGATACATGATTTTTAACTTTATATTCTTCGGGCAAAAGTTATATTATTTCTGATTTAAAATTATTACATTTTACCTGACTTTCTTTCTCACTCAGACTGTTTGCTAACTTGTCTTCTCCACCTCTCTTTTCTATCTTCCCAAAGGCTTCTTACTCCTTATTTACCTCTCAAAATAAACTTGTGCAAGTAATCAGTTACAAGCTGTTTAAAATGTTCTACACGAATGTTTATTTCTCAATCCATTGAGAATATCCTTATCAACATTTTGATAACAGGAACTGGCTTACCAATACGCAACCAAAGGAGCTTCTCTAGTTCTTGTAGCTAGGAGAGAGCAAGCTCTAAAGGAAGTTGCCATTGCTGCTTTGGGGAAAGGTTCACCAGATGTATTAGTGATCAAAGCAGACATTTCTATACAGTCAGAATGCAAGAGGGTCATTGAAGAAGCCATTGCTCACTTTACCAAATGTGAAATTTTATGCATAGTAATAGTATTTGTCTCCTTTTCTAATTATAAATTTATTGGCTTCATTAATATTGACACAGTACTCTTCTTTGCCTTGCAGTGAATCATCTAGTCCTTAATGCTGGGCTTGTTTCCAGTTCTCTCTTTGACGAGATCACTAACATATCTGCTTTCAACAGAATTATGGTAAGCACACATGCTAAGACTTCGTTTGGGAGGACTTTCTTACTGTTGCTTAAAATAATCTTTTAGTACAAAAATTAAGCAATAAGAAAGCTGTCCCGAACGAAGCATAATTATTCATTTAGTTAAAGCATATTAGAAATCTGTTTTATAAAATTCTTTTATTTCAAAACAAAATTTTTAAAAATATAATAATTTTGATCTTTGTTTTGTGACAGATTTTTTTGAGGCCAAAAACCAGAAAAAAGAAATATCTTTATCTAATACTTCCGAAATATTTATGATTTGTCGTACTATTTATGGTCGTGTTAAGGAATCCTTATTTATAGTTTACAAGATTTTTGAACTTCTTATGTCATTATCTTAAGCCAACCAAAAATAAAAATGAAAATTAACACACAAATATAAAATTTATATAAGTTCGCTCAATTGATGGCTATATTTTGTTGTTATCCTAATGAATTTTACTATGATTTAATTATGAAGAATTATAACTCTAATTTCCTCTAATACTTACTTAAAAATTAAGACTGTATCTTTGTAAGACAAAAATTAGGCTTTAGAACTTAGCATTAAGACTTTGGTTTAGTTTGGTATGGCTTTCTTACTTCTTAAAGCTGCTTTTTAGTAAAAAAATTTAATTTTTGTACTAAAAAACTAGTTTAAGAAACAATAAGAAAGCCATCCCAAACGAAAGCTTTATATCTTTGTAATACTAACATAAATATTTTCTACTTTCCCTTTCCTATGTTCAATCTACCAAAGTTTATTCATCAAATTATTTTCTTGGAATTAACCATAAAGCTTTACAGGATATAAATTTCTGGGGTGCAGTTTATACAACTTATTACGCTATTCCACACCTGAAGAATAGTCGGGGCAATATTATTGTCACAACTTCAATAGCTGGACGTGTTCCTCCTGCAAGAATGAGCTTTTACAACGTAATAGAAGAAATCTTTACTTCTTCTTCTTTCTCAAGCATTCAAATCTCTAAACTAACGGTTGAATGTTTAATATTTCAATTTCATAGGCAAGCAAAGCTGCATTAATTAGATTCTATGAAACACTACGAGCAGAATTGGGATCAGACATTCGAATCACTATACTGACACCTGGATTTATAGCTTCAGAGCTTACAAAGGGGAAATTTCTTCAAAAAGGAGGTGAAATTGCAGTAAATGAAGAGATTAGAGATGTAAGTAAACACGATCGGATATATGAACATAAATTTTCAATAGTTTTTGTTTTGGACAGTTTTTTTCTGCTTTCTAAAATAAATTTTTAGTTAAAAAAATTTGTAAATTAGAAAATTTTGTACTAAAAAACAGTAAGCAAAAAAAGATGTTCCAAACGAAGCCTAACTCTGCCAATCAATAACTATGCAGGTTCAGATTGGATTTTTCCCAGTTGGGTGCACAGATAAATTTGCAGAAAATTGTTGTAGAAAGTGCGTGTAGAGGTGATGAGTATGTGACTTGGCCATCTTGGTACCAACCTCTTCATGCACTTATGTTCTTTGCTCCTGAGATAATCAACTGGTATTCAAGACTATTATATGTTACTAAACCAGGTGCAGATTCAAGTAAGGCACTTAGTAGAAAAATCTTAGAGGCTACAGGGGCAAAGAAATTTTTATATCCAACTTCCATCAGATCATCCACCATTAAGATGGATAGCACCGAGTAATTATTGTCATGTAAGCTATTCGAGAAATTAAAGAGCGTTGGGCTTTGTTTGGGATGACTTTCTTACTGCTTTATAAAGTTGCTTTTTAGTACAAAAGCTATTGAAAGCAGAAAAAAAAAAAAGTGATCTAAAGCTGTCCTAAACGAAGCTCTAGTTCAAGCGGTATGTTCCACATTTATGAGTTCTAATTTTATAAATAATAAATATTTTAATTATATATAATAAACCTATCAATTTTCAAAGAATTATGACATTATGCATAAAAAATAGCTTAAAAAGCTTTAAATTATTGAATGAACGATACAATATGGGCATGCTGCATATTAATTATCACTCATCACAGTATCTTTCTCTTAAATTACGCTATTTATTTCCCAAAGTTATGAAATCATCATTGGAGGATTTTCATTTTTTGTAGAAAAATGTCTGTGTTTATTAAGTTTATTATAATTTTTTAAAATAGTTATTTCTTCTTCCATTTATGGTTTATAATTTATATTTGTATAAATAAACAAAAATAAAAGAATCAGCTATGGATATCTCGGTATAATTATGCATGTTTTCATTGATGTGTTCTTACTATTCTATCCGCCCATCTCCTGGATTTGGAGACTAACAGTATTCGTCTTCCTTAAGCCCTTTTCTTGCTACTATTAGCAGCTTTTGGTTAATTATTAAGCAGTATTTTGAAAATCATATTAGACTGGTTGGTCGACCTTGAACCGATGAAGTCGTTGGCTCGGTCGGGTTTGAAAATCGGATTCACATTAAACCGGTTACAATTGATTTGAACAACCGATTCGACCAGAAAACTGTCGAGTAGGTCCGGTTTTGTTGAACTGGCAGCTTTTGCAAAATATTATGTTTTATTTTAATAAAAATTTTAATAGTATATATTTATTATTATTTTTTAAATTTTAAATATTCATTTAAAAAGCAGTTGTAGACAAATTCATTAAGAACTCACAAGTGCCATCTCTTACAGTTCGATTTGTTGCTGCTGCTTTGTGCTTTACACTATATAAATATTACTTAAAACTTTCCTATGATACGAACTGAAAAAAATTGTGTCAAGTCTGGATGAGAGTTTTGACTGTGAAATTAGACTAGTTTGCGAATTTAGGTTGCTATTTATAAAGTTAATAACATTTTTTATATTACAAAATTTATATATTATATTAATTAATTTTCTTCTTTAAAAATTATATTTATATTTATGCATCAATATTATACTTTCTTTTTACTTGGAAGCCTCAACTCACGAGTGATAGAGTTTCCACTAAATTCAGCTGAAGCAATATTAAAGTTGACCCCTTTAAGAGTTTTTGGCTTTTCCACTGTGTGTTGTTCTTGTCAATAACTTGCAAATGATCTAATTGGTTTTGGTGGAGAACATCTTGATTGCCCCATAGGTCCCAAGTGTTCCACTTAGGTTGATCTAAGTTATGTTGTTTTTATGGAACTCTCAATGGTCTGCTAGGGCTACTAAATCACTGAAGCAGAATTCAAATTTAACTTGGCGCATGGATGGCTCTAATGGCTAACACAAAATGAGCCGTTACGCTGGTCGAGTCCTTTATTAGCCTTTACATCTATACCTTGACTATATCATATGGGCTAGGTACATATGATATAGGCTACCTTAATGCTTAGGAGAATATGGTTTAGTTTGGGACAACTACCTTACTACTTTCTAAAGCAGCTTTCTAATAGAAATTTTTTTGTTCAAAAAATTTTTGTATTAAAAAACTGTTTTAGAAAACAGTAAGGAAGTTGTCCCAAACGAAACCTAAAAATAAAACAATATTGATTTTTTTTTCTACTCAAATCGAACTCGTCTTAAGGCTAACAAGATGTTCTAACTCGAGTCAATACCATATCAAAGTTTAGCAATAGTTTTCTTCATAAACATTAATACTTCTACTAATCATTAACTGTGCAGGTTTAGTTTGGGCTTTTCCCAGTTGGATACACGGACAAATTTGCATAAAATGTTGTGGAAGGTGCATGTACATGTTATTGAAAAGCCAACCGTGATAAGCAGGCCACCATCTCGATGTCTCTCCTCTACTCTCTCTGTACAACATCTAATAATCTCTCTATCAAGCTAATCAGGACCATAAAATGCTAACTAACTCATCACAGTCATCTATTCACTTACCATTCTATATTTCTCTTATTATATAAACAACACTATAGCTCCTCTAATAGATGAATGAGAATATTACATAGTTTTACCTTTTTTACTTCCTATATATTTTCTCTACATGGTATCAAAGCAGTAAAAGCATAACTGCTCCTTTTCCTCATCCCTCTCTTTCTCTCTCGACAGTCATTCTCTACCTCAGTACTCATGGCAAACATCAGCACCTCTAATACTGTGGACATTTCCGCATCATAAGCTAACCAGGCAATGAACACCACCATTCCCTCTTCCCTCAAGTTTCTAATGGCCAACATTAAGTTCATTATTCACACTTGTGAGAACTCGTTCAATATGAATTAAGATGTTAAGCCTAATTAAATGTCCCAAGGCTAACCAAGAGGGGGGGGGGGTGAATTGGTAATTTAAAAATTATACTTCTACTCTTGGATTTTTAGAAAACCTTTTTAATTATTAATGCAAGTTAAATTTAAAGTTTTAAAAATAAACTTTTCAACCTTGACCTACGTCCACTCCCCGGAGGCACCCTCCGAGTATTGCACTAATACCACAAAGTGACTCTCCTTTTGCCCCCACAGCAAGACGGAGAAGCCTGTACAAAATCACTTTCACCTTCCC